CCTAAAGTGAAATTATAAAAAAAAAAAAAATATTCTAAAGAAATCATGCAAACAATACAATACAAACTATACGATTTCTTATGATTTTCGAGACTAGTCTACGATCGAGCACGGCTATCACGTGGCGTGGTCAGGAATGCGGTTGGAGCGCGGTTGTGTTTCGTTTGTACACATTCGCCCGAGAGGACCGTGTGGTGCCTTATAACGCAACCCGCTTCACCTTTCGTTCTCTCTTTCGCGGCTTCCCCCTTCTCTTTCTTTAGCCAGGCCTTGGATCGAGCGGTTTGACATTTCGCTGCCGCGTTTATTCGCTCGGCCGTCGACTGTGGCCCCTCTGTCCATGAGGTGTCGCGTAAACGAGACACGTGAACGTGGCTATACACTTGTTGTATCCTCGAATCATATCAATCGTTGATCTTGCAATGATGCTCGTACGATGTAAATATTTATTTCATTTATCATTTATTTCATTTATTTCATCGAGCAGAAGAAATAGGATTTAATGATACGAAAAAAGACATTTCTTTGATTCATATCACCAGTTCATTCCAGTATCTTGTAGATTGATTTTATAATCGTAATTTTATTCTATTTTATATTTTTATATCAGATTGGAAAATAGGATCTGACGAAATATAAGCAAATATTTTATATAAATTTATTTCATATTATTAACATATCTATCTGTATCTTTTAATAAAGAACAGGATATCCTGATGATATAGAAAAATATTTTATTTATGTAGATAGAAATAAACGAGCAGTGAGTCAATGCAACAGTTCTCGTTCGAACTACATTCAAACTAGTTGAATATAGTCATGACGTTTTCTTTTTTTTTGACGATGAAAAGCCGGTTGAATGATGGATCGATTCCAATATTTTGACGCATTTATTTTTATTAGATGTATCATGACACGTAAAATACGTAACAAGTATAGACCAACCTTTAGAATTCTTTCACATAACAACGTATAATTGGATGCATATCGAATGATCGATCGTATCATGAATATCGATCGTACATTCAGACCAGATTTCAAATGATATACATGATACATCGAAGGAAAATGCAAGCTGGTACACGGAGCGTATGCAATGTTGCACAATCTGGATTCAAGCCAAAATTCATTTGGCATACAAAGTAAAATAAAATTTAGCGATAGAATTGAGAGAATACAATTAAAGGATGTATTGTTATTAACAAAAGTAATTACGTGATACATTGGACCACATGCACAGCAACATACATGCTTGGAATTGATAATGTTGATTCAACAGATTCTAATGCACACGGTCCCATGATCGCGCCACTGAAAATACAAATGTGTAGAATTGCAAAGCGACACGTGAAATTGCGTTTCTTCTCAAGTTTTCTTGTATGGCGCCATGAGAAATTGGGCAATTGAATTGTTGGTGGAATGTTGACGATTTGATCGATATCAATGTTTTCATATCTTGAGTTTTGATTGATAGATTTTTGCTAAATTATTTTAGTATTGTGTGTCATACTTTTATTTCGTTAAAAGTCAATCTCAGTTTTTCCAAAAATACTCGAAATATTTTTAAATATTTTTACGAGATTTTCAATTTTAATGTTGTATGCTCTTCATTTTCTAATTTTTATTTTTAATTAATTTATTTATTTATTTGTTATTCTGGGTGAAAATATAATATTTTCTTGAGTTTTAAAACATTGACCATAAAATTGTTATTGATTATTTTTATAAAATTTTTATGGATTTCTCCTTTGATATATTCTTTATCGCGTGAAAGAAGAATAATTTAATTTAAGATCGTAAGAATAGAAAATTGTCATAGAAATATTAAATTTGATAGTTCATAGAAATAATAAGGAGAGGAAAGCGTAGAAAGGTGTAACAATTTTTATCGTATTATTTTAAGAATTGTTTCGAGCGAAAGCTGTTCGCATTAGAGGAGGCATTAAACCGCAGTTACGTTTAATAACTTCTTTCCATTTCTAACTACGCCACGGTGAAATGATACAAAATGTGAAATGAACAGCAAAATGTCATAACGCTGGAAAGGTGAGGGTCAACTTAGTTGTTATTAAGCGCGAGGTAATTCCATTTTATGATTCTTAAGTTGCATTCCATTTGCACTTTCACTTTCTTCGCTTTCTTTCTCCGCAAAATTATTAATAATGTTGACATTGTAAATAATAGAAAGCATTCGTTACACAAATATTATTAATATTATTATGAATCATTTTGAAACGATTATATGTACATGACAATATATACATACATAAATCTTACATACACATAAATAATATTACAAAATAGAGATATGTAAAATATGTTTAAATAATATTTAAATAAATTTGTTTAAGAGATATTTGAGAGATCAAATATTTGTTAAGAGATCTTTCTTTTATAAGTTTAATGTTAAGCATAAATTGCACATTTATATTATATAAGTGTTCGTTAACGATTAAGTTATAATATGGGAAAAGCTATATAATTCTCGTTAATAATGCGAAATAATAATGAGAAAAAAAATCGTGAGAAGATGCCCTTAAATAAACGAACAGTTTCACAAATAAGAAAAAACTTTGTAATATATTAATATCTCCTTATCTTTCTAAATCATTTTCATATTTAATTTATAAAACCGTTAACTTTCAGATGCACTTAATATCTTTCTCTTCTTTCTCCTTATGAATCATTCAACTTATTCAACTTATTCGACAATTTCAAGTCACTTTATTCAAGAATCTTCATTCAATTTCATCTTTAGAAATTTCATCGTTGAAAAGTTCAAAAAATATGTCGTACAAAAGAAAAGACGTACAAAGTAATTTAACTTTTCCTCATCTGTTGAAAAATCTCTATTCGACCAGTACTCTGCAATTCGTGTAATTGTATCGTATTTCTATTATAATGTTCCTCACGAAAATCCTATTTTTTTTTTTCGAATATCCTAAAATTATTCGTATTATAAATATTTTTAATTTTAATTTATATAATTATAATTTTAATTTAAAACGAACGAATAATATGTTCCCATTAATGTTATTTGTTTCTATTAACCAACATGATATGGAATGTGTCCTCATTTACTCTGTAATATTTCATTTGTCATGTATTTAAAATTCCAGCTGTGTAGTAACACTTCATACCGAATTAAAATTCCGTAATTTTATATTCGATAACAACATAAAAATAGATCTTAAATTACTGATGCATAACTAAGATAAGTTGTATATGTCAATAACAAATATAAATTTAAGAATAAATAGCTTTGTAAAAGATTTTTGCACTGTATTATAAATATTATAGGATTCGAAGAAAAAAGAGATTCCTTGCGATTTCTCATGAGATTTAAATCCGTGGATGGTGACCCCGGATGGTGGGGTTTACACGTCTTTCGCCAAGGCATCTTCTTCATTCCTCGACGTTTTTGCTTTTTCTTTTACCTGATATGGTTTCAATTTTATTGAACAGAAAAAAATTAATATGATAGCAGTATATAGATGGAGTTCAAATATACGTATAATTGTAAAATCAGTTAATTATTGGCTAATTATTTAATATCTATTTATAATAAATGATTATAATGATGTATTAATAATAAATGCATTGAATTATAGATTTTCCATCATTTGAAAAAATAAATCATATTCATATATTAATTTTTTTGATCTAATATAATATAATATGATTATAATATGATTTAATATGAAAATTTATTGCATCGTTAAAGAGGTTAATTAAATGCGTTCCATTACAAGATATTAATTGGAGCAAGGTAACGTATAAAATTTCGAATCCGATTACACAGTTTTCAATAATGGCCATGATATAACGTATAAGTTTCCTTGAAATTGCATAACTTTTCGGCAAAGATTGATATTCGTCCACGAGCAATCGAGAACGTTCGCAATTTCTTTGGAATTTCTCCAGCCTCTCTATGATGCAATTTATTAGCCGGCGTGTTGCGACGTAATTGCACTCGGCACCGATATCGAACGTGCGTCTAATTGCACGACATATAATTGCGCGTTTGTTTGTTTCGAGTGGCATTATACATTTCAAAGGTTTGCATAGCAATATCGATGCCTGAAATATATATATATTTTTTAAAGAATTTCAAAGAGAAGTAAGTTTTTCGAAGAAGGAAATTAATGCAATTATAAATCAAGATCAACGTTATCATAATTTCTGCTTTTATCCCTTAATCTTTGTTATTTGAATGCAAATGACAATGAACGAAAATTAATGTTATAATTTTTAGTGTCTATTTTTAGTATCGATTTGAATATATTTTTACAAATTTGCACGAACAGGTAGATGATATTTTGATATAAAATTTATTATATATACAATTGCTACATAATTAATTGCAATTTTATATAAATATTATATTTTTTATATATTTATAATATTCAGTTTAAGTTAATTACCGAAACGTATATGTGTGATTCAAAAATGTACTAAAATTTATATACGATCAGATATAATAATGATAATAAGATAACTGGAATAGATTAAAAAAAATATTTCTTAATAATTCTAGAACAATATAGTATAGTTTAAGATAATTAATCAGTAATTATATCTGGGCAAAGTTATTTTAAGCTGAATTTAAATTCAACTCAGTATGTGAATGTAAAAGTTCAATTTCTATATTTTTCCTAACATAATTTATTGTATTCCTGAGAAATATTTCAAATTCTAGTTTTAATTGATTAGTTGTAGAGTATATAATTACAAAAATATTCAAGAATACATTATTACAATAATGTAACACTTTTCAATCCTAATCACCTATATACAAAGATATGTAGCAAGAAAATAATAAAAATTATGCATAGTAATAAATTACTATCTTTTACTATCTGCACTTTTTATCTTATTCCTTCTTTATTTGACATCTTTCTATCAAATTTCTATCATAAGAAATAAAAAAATTTAACATTTTCCCATAGCATTTTTTAATTCACTTTTTTTCTTCAAAAGAATTTGTTTAATATTCTAAATTCTAAAAAATTCTAAAAAATTATCAAAATTAATATAAATTTTGTTCATATCCAAGTAAATCCTTCAGAAATATTTTAGAGAATTTTAATTTACTTTAAATTGTACTAAAAAATAACTATAATAATTCTTTCATTGAAAAATCGAGACAGAAAATAGTGAATGTGAAACTTTCTTCGCGCATTTGACTGGTAAAGCGAGTAAAAGTATCATCGCAAGCGTAATAGAAAAATAGCGTATATTTATAATAACCGGTAGTGGCGAACAAAAGCACTATCACGGCAGAAGAAAAATGACCAACGTGCAAAATCATCTGTTCCGCTAGAGGCAACACCGAAATTGAAAACCTATTCTTCGTCATATCCACTATATAACGTTATGCAACCTAGGAATTCTATTACGATTTTATTTCTGTCAAAAGTCAATATTGAATTGCGTACACTTGTAACTATACTATGTACGTTGGAATTGTAACTTTCTAAAAATATAACTTTAAAATTTTTAAGAATATTTCAAAAATAAATTTTTATTTTTATTTCTACTTTCTATTTCTGATAAAATTAAAAAAAATAACTCTCGTTCGTTCGATCGTCACTTTTTCAAATAAAAATGCACAATGCTTATATTAGACACTTTTTCACTTTCTAATGAATATATCATGTTTTCCCTCTCCCCACAATTTTCGCATCCTTTATATAACATTCAGTTCACACTTTCCCCCTATCTCATACGAATTTAATCCAATATTCTTTTCTTTGAAATCCCAAATGGTTACCACAGAATCTCTTGATCAATCGCGAAAATCATCGAACAGCATATCGAATCACAACTGTGGAACAAAATCTAAACGAGAAAAAAATAGCGATTGTGAAATCAAATTTGTAAATCGATACCACAGTAACTCAACTGTCCCCACCACAATAAGTAATCTCGAAACTTTTTGAAATTTTATGATCGATGAACAACCGATATAAAACCGTGTGCCGCGTGTACAAATGACTTTCTCGTGCTTGCATCGATTGCGCAATCCTGTATCGTCCACACAGATTTCCGGTTACAAACCCATTTGAAGTGCGCGAACTAGCGCTCGTCGGTCATCTTTGACATTTCGCGTTGATTTCTCCATAGCGTCTTCGCCGCTTTCACGAACCGCGAAGGAACATACATTCGTTGCATAATGTAATATCGGCCTTGCGAGAAATTCGCATGAGCACGAACGGGAAAAGTACGGAAAAAAAAAGATCGTGTGATGGCTATTGTAAACTCTGTAAATGAAGTATCACGAAAGTTTTTTCATTTTCTGATAAAACTCGTCGATCATGTTCCACTTGAAAAGTAACCGCAGAATCGAAGAAAAATTAGAACACTTCACGGGATTCCACAAACTTCGCAGTCCGTGGCTGTGACCCCCTCAAATCGGGGTTTCCATATCTTTTGCCACGGAGTTCCTTCGACTCCACGATGTTACACCAGATGTCTTTTTCCCTAGTATGAAACTCCGATCGATATCAAAGCTCATTTCTTGCTATTGATAAGTGTCTGCGATTATAGTTATTCGTAGAATGTTGAACGCGTTTGTTGCGGAAAGAAACGATTATGGATTCTCATAGGCGAGAAAATCGATAAAGAAAAGGCCTGTTTGTCGAGCACAGAAACGATCACTAATAGATGCATACGTTTCATTATTCAATATCGTTTTCGTTGATAACCGTGGAACGTGCATCTTATCGCAAACAGACCGCACACGTGCCGGCGAGAACCGATCTTTCGCGTTATACTCGTTCAAGTTTTATGCTAATAATTACACGGGTGTATATATTGCGCGTCTTAATGAGCAGCCTCGATAAGCATCAATAATTATCCACCACGATATTAACGGGAGTAACGAGCGAGTAGATTTAACCTTGGTAGTCTACCAGGGTATGTATGCATCCGGTTACAAACTATCCGCGTGTAATTTAGAAAAGTTAGACTTAGGTGGAAATTTTATGGAGTTTTCGTGATTTCGTGATTCTAATGGAGATGAACTTTATCCTAACTCAAGAATTTTCATTATCTTTCAAATATAATAATGTTTTAATAATTTTAGGTGATGGATGTTTATTTTAATATATTTGGGTATGATTGATAAGAATAATAATACGGATTATTCTTAGGAGGATTATATTTAACGTTTATATTGATTTCTCTTGAATTATATAATATTATAACCTTGCTTCAAATTTAAATTTATAGAACGTAATTTAGTCTATAATATATCATCATGTTTGTGTAACATCAGAGAAAAGCTATATCCGATACTTTTGACCTTATCTGCCACTTACAAGTGCTTTTGCAATACATCGATCATTCATGTTTCTGTAAAAGACGCTTGTAAAAAATTTATAAAAAATTTTGTAACATTATATTAATCTTTTATTATTTCAATTGAAATATAGCATTATAATCTAAATCGTTTAGGTGATATATAATAATATTTATGAAAAATTATAGAAATTAGATAATAAATTTTACAAAATGATTTCCTGCACATTTCTTTTATTAGTAAACTTGACTTTCAATATTTAACACCTACTTTATCGCCTACTTCTAATCTTACGCTTCCCTAATTTTTTTTTTTTCGTATTTCATTCCCTATTTCCCTTTACCTATAACCTTTATAAATAAAATATTTATACGTTATTTCGGTTATACCTGCAACAACTTCATTACGAAAATAATATTCTATTTCCTTAAATAATTCAGGCTAACATCTGCACTTCAAAGTTACACGAATTTTCCATAACTATTATTACATTATTCAAATAAAAATCTAAATTAAATAACACATCTCTTACGTTATTTTTACGTTTACGGAAATAAATGGATCTATAAAATAACTAAAAAATCAAATATCCACCGACATACGTTAAATTATAACTATAAATACACATTACAAATTTACTCACCCCGATATGTTGCCCATCGATGAAAAGCTGGGGCAACTGTATCACCGTGGAGCCCAAGCGATCTCTCAGCTCTGTTTGCAGCTCAGCGTCCCCAAACAAATCTAGCTCGTCGTATTTGACCATGTGCGTCCTCAGGATTTGCTTCACCTTCTTGCAATTGTAGAACGTTTTTCTCACGATACCAGAGGTCGTCGTGTACACTACCACTTTACCCAATTCCTTCTTTATGTACGCCTGCAACCAACCATGTAACGATCCCTATTAAAAATCGTGACAACGTGAAAATCTACTTAATTTCGTGTCGTCCTTTTGTATACACCCTGTTTTTACCTGGATGTACGTAACAATTCCGAAATTTTGTACGTGATTATTAAACAAATTTGTTTGCGCGGAGGAATGGAAACCTTTCGAGACTGATATCGAGTTACGGTAACACTCAGCCGCGTTTTGCTTCGCAACTTTCGGCTGAATCACCTCGTCTCAAGGTACGTATATACACAGCGAGAAAGTACGGGTTTCGATGGCTTCGTACAAAATATAGAAAACAAACAGGAAACTAAGATTGAAAAATAAATGTGAATGCGAATGTATTGTTGAAATTTTTATGTAAGAAACTGTTATAGAAATTTGAAGGATTGATTAAAACTATGAGATAGGATTTTAACTACGTTTCTTAAGTTAATTTTTATGTTTACCGGAGTTTCTCTTATATATATTTTAAACGAAAAAAGAGAATAAAATTTTTTTTTTTTATATAATAAAGAAATTTTTATTGTAAAAATTAGGAACGAATTCTGAAGATTTCTCTTTCTCTCTTTCTCTCTCTCTCTCTCTTTCTAAATCGAATAATATGGTGGATGAAAATACGAAGCGAAGACGTAAAAGTCACGGCAAAGTTTCTTAATGTTTTCTCTGTTGTAATTAGCCTTCGAGGAATAATATTGGTTGAAGAGTATTATAATCATTTGCCAGAAAATAATATTAAAGTGTTACTAACGAGTGAATTTAAAGTGCAGTAATTACATTCGTCTTACGTAAAAAGTCTTCACTTCTCACTAAAATTAAAAGATCCAAAATTCAACCTCGCTCCAGAGATCATTTAAAAAAGTATTATTAAATTAATCCTTGATCAAAATCTTCTTTATCACAGTAATTCTCCAATTCAAAAAAGGAGAAACATTAAAAACACATTAAATCATTTTGAATATTATAAAAATAATATATTCTTTATAACAACATATATTATTCACGATATAGATTCATACCAGAATGTTGCAATCAACATATATGACGATATCTGCGCATGTTTATGTCGAAGATGCATCGCTTTATTTGGCGCGCAATTCAAATTTATAATTGCGTTCGAATTCACGATCCATCGGAGAGAATCCGAGGTCCATCACGATTACGTAGGTCTGTTCTATCGTACAATTCATCCCATTAACCCCGTAAATGCTAACCATCCACGCGTTCCATTCCACAACCTTGCCGGGAATCGCGTATACCTACTTTATTTACATATGCCGCGTTCATAATGCACGGTGAAGGTAATGGATTCCACGTAGGCACGAAACGAAGAAACGTGGGTGTTACGAGATAATGACACTCGCCTCGATATGTGTGTGCACGAGGAAAGATTGGATTTAAATATGTTGAATATATACATACATATATATACGCACAAGTGTTATGTAAGTGTGAAAAGAAAGACTCGTTTTCTAACGAGCCGACAGGTGGACGATTTATGGGAAATCGTGGAACAATATCCGTTTTTTATTATACACAAATTTTATTATATATTTCGAATATCTTTATCGCGGCTCCTTTTAACCGTGTGTTTGTTATGGATGAAAAACTTGTTGATGAAAAACTTGTGTCAAATTTCTTCGATACTTTCACTGAATCAATACAAAATTGTTTTGGAAGTTTATAGGGAAATACAAAAATTTTTTTAAATATAATTTACTTTAATGAATTATTTGATTTATTGAGGTTTGTATTAAGAAAAGATTTTCTTCTTCAGTTCGTTTTTTTCTCTTCTTCTTCTTGTTCTTTTTTTCATGCCTGTTGAATTTTTCTTAACATCGAGGAAACGAGAATTAAATTTTAACCTCGATGAAAGAAAAGAGAAGTAACGGGATAAATCTTTAACCGAAACGAGAACGTGATCGGGATAAGGAATAACAAGGGTGTAGGAAGATTAATATTCTCTTAGTATATGTAAATATGATTTTATAACCAGGAATATTAACTTAAAGGTTATTCCCTCGTAAAGTAAGTATATTGATTTTCGTATAGTGATTTCAAACTTATCCAAAGAAAAAAATATCTTCTTTCTTATAAAAAAAAGGTTAGATTATATTATCATGGATATATATTAAAATTGAAATCAAAGTAACAGTAGTTCATAAATTGCAATAAAAATTAAGGACAGCGTATCGATAATTCAAAAACGTTTCGATGAATGAACACATGAATATCTATTTGTCAATGTCCACTTCTTGCAATCACAGGCATAAATTGTAACTGTACACGCAATTCCATTAATCACGAGTAAAAATTCACATTATTGGAATGCGTTTTTATATTTAAAGAATTTATTTTATTTATTTTACCGATTACTGAAGAAATAAAAATTATCGAAATCCTTTTTTCTTTTTTCTTTTTCCTTTTGAAATATTACTTAACTCTGATTTTTATAAAAAATTAATCAAATTTTTGTATAAAATGTTTATATCATTTTAATTTGCTGATGACGTAAAAGAAAGAAAGAAGACGTTTCGAGGAAAAACACGGAGATATCGTGATATCGTTAAATTACCTTTCACTAAGCAAAACAATATATAATAATTCAGCCAAAATGCAACGTGTGAAACGATTTTCTGCGTTCTTCGATTTTATTTTTAACCCCAATTATAACTATGTTTCTGTTGTAGTGGATGAAACATACTTTTATGATTTATATTCATAATAAATATAATACTTTATTGATTTATATAATAATTGTATTTATTATTAACTGCAATAATATAAAATGAATTTCAAATATCTTTCAGTATTTATATTATAAAAATCTTGATTTCTTTCATTAGTAATCAAATAATTCTTTTATTATACAGAAAAATGTTAAAATTCATTCATCCAATATTTTCAATATTTTATAATAACAATTTTTTGATTTAAATTTATTAAAATCGCAATTTCCTTACTAATGTATTGAATATTCAATTTGTTATTCAATATATTAGAAAAATAAATAATAAAAGTTCATGTCTTATCATGTTACACATTTCCTCAAATGAGTATACGATGAAAAGTTTATCAAATTGCCACAAATTACTTTATTACCTATTTCCTGTTCTTTTCTACTTCAATTTTCTCTGAATTATTCGCCAATTGATTCACTTCTCTAACAAGCAATTGCAACATAGTACCGATTCACTGTGCCATAATTCTTAATAGTTACCATCATATTCCATTGCAATTTAATTCAATCCAAAAACACGTATATATGGCGTTATATGTAGATATTTTGAATATCGAAAATAGCAAATTTAGCAGGATCGTATATCATTTGAAGTCGAGGGTCGTGAAATTCGAATATTCGTTGCAAAAGAATGAGCATAGATCATTAAATTACGAATTATTCAAAGAATTTTATTTACGTGTGGAAAAAAATGATGGTCATTTTAAAAACTGAAAATAAATAAACTTAATGCTAAAATAATGGTAATAAATTCATAAAATGCAATATACACAATGCTGAAATTATTGCAACAAAAAGGAAACTTGGAATAAACTAAGCGAATCGGATTATAATGATATGGAATTATTACGACATGATTTGTGTAGCTTTGTAATAATTGTTTATACGTTTTTTTATATTCCATTTTATTAATACCAAAGATATCCTTTTATTTCAAATTTTTTTCTAAATCATCGTTATTATACTATTTTTACAAAAAGATTTCTTATTCACAGATTCATTTATTTATAAAATAGATAAATTGAAATTTGTCTTTTTCAAAATCTTCAATCTCATTAATATTTAATCAATCATCGTTTATCATTTTTCGCTGTCAGCTTTCTCGTTTTTTCATCATCGATTTTCGTTTGATTGAACATAAATATCTATCGAAAATAAATATATTATCATTATCCGTTTATTAATTATTTTCTATATCTTTATCTATTTTTTTCTTTCATTTATGCTATATATTTTTTCCGCCACTCGATTACACACCATGTTACAATTGTCATCGCATTGTTTCATCTCCAATCGAACAATAAAAACCAATAAAATGATAAGATACAAAGACCTTGTTATCGATGAAAAATGATAATATAAAAGAAAGATCAAATATCGATCATATATATATATTATACGTAATAAACCCAAATCCTATTAAGTTATACTGTTTAATTAGCAAACGTGTAAACAAAGAAGTTGGTCTCGCAACTTTCTGTTGTTGTTGAGAAATAAGAAAATAATTCAATCGGAATTCTCGCGCCCGTGTGTGTATTATCAATGCCTATACAAGCAAATCGATCACGCCCGTGTGAATATTATGGATCCTCGCGTGGCCACTTTCAACGGGATCGCTAATGAACACGCATTACGCATTCGTTTCTCGGTGTAAAACCGGATCCCTCGTTCCAGGTGTACGATCAAAGCGATAAAAGGAAACTATAATTGCATAGGAATGCTAGGTGTAGGATTCTGCCATCGAGTTTTCTCTCTCTCTTTTTCTCTCTCTCTCTCTTTCTCTCTCTCTCTCTTTTTTTTCTAAGATCTCGTAGCTAGGACGATCACTATTACGCCACACAAATCGCGCGAGCCTCTCTAATTATATGATTTTAACACCGATGAATCGTTAGAACGTGTTAAACAAATAACATTTGCATATATTTCTGAAACTGGCGATGATCAAGCTTGGATGTAAGCCAGGCTAACGAGATTTATTATTTGGGTTTGGTTTGGGTGAAGGATGGAAGAATGATTTTCGAAGGGAATTTAGAGAGATTATTTTCATTGAGAAGAATATTTTTGTAGTTTAATAAAGAATTGGTTAGATGATTTATAATTATAGGGAGAATAATTGGATTTTGAAAGGTCGTCGTTTGTATGTAGAAATATTAATTCCGTGTTGATATCTATTACGATACAGTCAAATTTTTCTCAGTTATAGAGATTATTATTATTATTATTGCCTATCTTTCGGAATTTTCTTCAA